TGGGAGGCCGGGGTGAGTGGATCGCCTGAGCCCGCGGGTTCGAGACCAGGCAGCTTGGCGAGACCTCGTCTCTACAATAAATCAAAAATTAGCCAGGTGTGGTAGTGTGCACCTGTAGTTCCAACTACTTGGAAGGCTGTGGCGGAAGGATCGCCAGAGCCCAGTGGGTCCACCCTGGGGCGGCCGGGAGTGTGCCATGCACTCCCACCTGGGCGATGGAGTGAGACTCCAACTCAAAAAAAAAAAAAGATAAGGCACAGGCAAAGGCCCGGGGTGGACACAAGCCTGGCCTGTGAGAGGAGCAAACAGAAGGAGTTTGGGAGCACTGTGCCCCACAAGGCAGGAGGAAAGCAGAGACAGTTGGGGAGCACCGCGGCCCTGGCAGGAGCTCGCGCTGCTTCTAAGCCACGTGAGAGCTGCACGTGACCCAACGTGTTCTTTAAAGCCTGACCGCTATGCCAGATAAGAGGAGGGAAGGGGAGACAGGAACTGCTCTCCACAGCACGCAGGGAGCGCTCCCTCCGGCTCCCTGCGCTCCCGTCGCCCCACTCCACGCTGTGACACCGCTGGGAGACCCGCTCTGCGGTGTTGCCACAGTGGCGTCCTTCCCCCAGTCTGCACCTCCAAGACCAGCATGAGCCAAGGCTGAAGGCCAGGCTGTGGCTCGGCAGGCGGTGACCCCTGTCCTCCCTCCCGCCACTCAGACGCAACCCCGTGGCCGCACAGTTAGTCAGTGTGGACCACACTGGGCACACAGAGTGCCCGCACCATTACGACACCGTGGAACTCGGAGGGGCTGAGAAGCCAGCCGCGCCTCCTCCCCTTCGCCCTCCGCCTCTCCTCAAGCAGCCGCAGACCCCGGGCACCGGGGCTAACATTCGCCCAGCAGGAGACAGACCGCCCCCTCCAGCAAGACGTGCTCCTCGGCTCTCATTTTCTCCCGAGCGGGGGCAGAGGGTCCAGCCGGCCAAGTCAACTTGGTCAACCGGTGGTTGGGGGCTGACTGGCTTCCCTCGACACACGCTGTCTCAGCACAGAAACAAAATAAACAAACCCTGCCCTTCCCGGCGAGGTCTCCATGTCAGTGCCTTCTGGAGCCAGGCCTGCCGAGCGACACCAACGTGAAGAGCAGACCCGAGGGCCGACCCAAAGTAGTGGCCCTGTCCCAGGTGTGCCGTTGGCGCTTTCTGGGTCTCATGTCTCCCCATGTTGAAAGCCAATGCCCAGTTACAATGTAACACTGAGTAACAGTTCCAGACTCTCTTTCCCTGGAATATAACAATGCATGGCATTGCTACTCTTTTTGGAGTAAAATCTGGCCCAACATGCAAAATGCATTGGCCTTGACAAAATGAAGTCCTTAAGCGGTCAGAATCGATGCTCTGTTAGACACACTTGGACTCGGATCCGGGCTCTACCGTCTGCTGCTGCTGCTGATGTGTCTGTCTTTGGGCGGGGCGCTTAACTTCTCTGAGCCTCAGAGCCCTCATCCGTCAAATGGTGACCCCGTCTTCGTTGAAGATAAACAAGGTCATGCATGGGAGGTGTTGGGCACAGTCGCTGGCACGGAGTGAACCCCCCTGATGGTTAACAGGACTCCGTGGGAGATGAAGCTCTGCGGGTCATAAAATGGACCAGCGTTAACTGTCATCAACAGAGGGAGCTGCTGCGTGTCTCGCACAGAAACGCCAGAAAGACCCAGGAGGTAGGAAAGCCTTCGAGTGTACGTGAGAAGACTCGCAGTTGAAACAGACTCGGAAGGTCTTTGGGCCCGTTGTCGTTAATTCGCGGTCTCTTGCCCAGAGACCACTCTCTTGGTGATGCTGCGCGTGGCGATCGAAGCCGCGATGATGATTTGCAGGGCGTGTTCTTTGCCCCAGCCCCGTCGTGGGGGCTTCACGGACATGCACTCCATCTGCACAGCAACTCAAGTAAGCACTGTCACCGTGCAGACCTTGTGGATGGGACAGCTGGGTTGGGCCGTCGGACTGTGAGCCTCGCTCTTTCGGCTGTTTTTTGTGGGTGTGTTTTCTTCTGTGGAGATGCAGCTTTCTGTGTGAAACGAAGGCATGGTGTGCTCCGTCACTCTCACACTCTGCTCTTGTAAGTAAAGTTGTGTTGGAACGCAGCCAAGCCCACTTGTCCGCAGACGTCTCTGGCTGCTTCCGCACCGTAGCGGCAGAGCTGAGTGGTGACCGTGCGGCCCACAGGCCCCACCACACTTACCTACTGTCCAGCCCTTCCCAGGAAAGGGTGCCTACCCGGTGTCAGCTTACAGGTCACCAAAGGACTGGGCTTGGAAGGGGAAGAAATAATTCCTCTAATGCCCTGTGTGTGGCATTTATAGTGTAGATTTGGTGTTTACAGGGGGTTTTTACGTATTTATCTCCCTGAATCCTCGTAACGATCCTGTGAAGTGAGTCGTCTTTATATTTCCATTTTAGAAATGAAGAAACAAGGTCAGAGAGATTAAATGGCTCGCACCATAGCCTGGACAGTAAACTCCCTGAGTCGAGGGATCGTGTGTCCTCATCGTCACGGGCCTGTCACCTACACAGGCTGAAACGGAGCGAGCTCTCAGAAAGTACATGCTGAATGAATGACAGTTGCCAAGGTCACCCTGGAGAGGCCAGGGGCTGTCTTCCTGACGCCGCAGGGCCTGGCAGTTTTGAGGAGGGACTTGCCCTGGAGATAGCTGAAGCGCAGAGTGGCTGACGTGTGGCCTCGCTGTCGCTTGACAGATTTGTGCAGCTGTGCTCCTCCCCCTCCTGAGTCAAAGTCGATCCTCTGGCCCCATCGCCTGGGGAGCTTTCCTGTCCTGCTCGGCGCCCGTTTAGACGGGGTTAAAGCGGACACCCTCATGAGAGGGTGGTCACGTGGCGCCGCCTGGGTTTTGGACGGGTTTCCGGCACAGCCTGGGCAGCCCTCCTCCCGCCTGGTCGTCCTCCCGCCGCCCCCCTCCTGCAGGGCCATGAGTCATGGCGCCCGGCCGGCCGCCCCTCCAGGCCAACCCAAGGCCTTTGTTTTCTTTCTTCTCTGGGCTTGTCCTGGGAGGGAGGCTCGGGTGTTCATAGACATCCCCTCGGCCTTCTGAGTCCCGCCGATGGCAGGGAGATAAGTGGGAGGCTGGCCAGCCCCTTGGTGCCACCTTGCCCCCTCTCCGCTGTCACGTGCTGGTGGGTGGCAGAGCAGAGCCCCCCAGGCAGAGAGCATCTGCTGTGGCCCCGCCCCGGACGTGGGCCCGTGGCTTGTGATTCCCGGCCTCTTTGGTGTCACACAGCCGGCTCCTGCCTCCACGGGCCAGCCGCCCATGGGAGCACACCGCCGCCGCCTCCCTGTGGCCCCATCGCTCCCTGCGCGTGGGAGTCACAGCCAGGCAGGAAGAGGGCTTTTGCTCTGGCTTTAGGGTTTGGGTTGTGTTTTGTTTTCAATTGCAAGTAAGATTATGCTCAGGAAATGGAATCTGTGTGTGCTTTGACAGCTCCGAAGGGCTCCAAGGGTCAGACATTGAAGCAAGCACCTTGGGAGCAGAGGGGCCCTGAGCCACCCGGGGTGTTTTCTGGGCCTTGGTTTCTCTGCAGCCAGGGCGAAGACCTCACGTGACTTCTGCCCTCGGCCTCGGTGGTTCCAGCCCCGGCAGGGGCCGAGCTCAGGGTTGAGCACCCTGAAGTGGCGCCGGGCGGAGGCCCTTTGGAGCGCTTCCCAGGAGAAGGGACTCCAGCTTCGCCTGAGGGTCTCGGGTCCCTCCACCTGGCCCACTGCACCGGAGTCCTGTCGGTTTCCGTGGGGCCTGGTGGGCTTGGATGAGCCGCTCGCTTTCTCCTCAGATCAGCTCTCTGCCTGGCGACTCTTTGAAGGCACAAGGTGTGTCCCCGTAGCCTCCTCTGTTGAGAAGGATGCCGAGTCCTCCCCGGGCCATTGGGTCATGAGGGCGGTCTCCTGAGCCTCCCTTTCCTCATCTGCTAAGCGGGTTGAATCAGGCCATCCCCAAGACCCCGCCAGTCTGGCTTCGCTTTTCAACAACAGAATCTGGTTTTTCAAAGACTCTTTCTACATCTGTGAAGAACTCTGCTCTAGGACAGAGCCGGGCCAAGGGTGCCCTGCCTTCAGTTCTCGTCTGGGTTTCTTTTGGCTTGGTGGTGACGGGTAAGGCTCGGAGACAGCCCGGCCTCCACCCGGCGCTCCCCCACGTGGCGGTGCCGAGGGCGTCCCGTGGCTCGTCCACTGTCACTCCCGGCAGCCGTGAGGGCCCCATGCGGTTCTCGGCCAGACAAACAAACGGGGATGCCAGAAGACAGGGCCACTTGCCCACAGCACTGAGCTAATACGCAGCCAGATCAGGACTCGAGGCTGAGGCTGAGCACCGCGGGGCCCAGGTTCCCAGCCGCTGTGGCATCAGTGCCCCCGAGCGGGGCAGGCGTGTAAACTACACACCCAGCGTCTTCCTGCCGCCACCAGCCTCTCCCTACGGGGGGGTAAGTGTGGTGAGAGGGTCTCGTCAGGAGAGATGCTCACCGAGCACTGCGGAGGCAGGAGGTGTCTGGATAAGAGTTGCCACTTCTGTGGAACCGCACAGCTGCAGCATGTGTGTGCTTGGCGCCAGGAGCACTGTCAGGGCTGGCGGAGGGTGGGGGGAAGTTTGAGGGGCAGAAGGATCCCCGCGGGGGACAGTCGTGCGGACCTCGGCATCACAGGCCGGGGGAGGTGGGGCCCCTCAAACGCACCAGCTTCACTTGAAGAGGGGCAAGGAGAACGGGCTCGCCCTGGCTGAAGCCAGACTCCCTACAGAAAAGAAAACAGCCGCTAACGGTGCAGCCTGAGTCCTGGGTGAGCGGTGACGCGTCTCCCTCTCGCTCCGAGTGCCTGCTCTGCCCCGCACTGTGGCCCTGCCTGCGACGTCCCCCCTCAGCCTGTGCCCGCGCGTCCCGGGACCCGAAGTGGAGATGAGAGGAGAGCAGCGCCTGTGTTCTAAGCTGGGCGGCGTCTATTTTTATCCACAGCTGCTGGAGCTGATCGCCAAGTCACAGCTCACCTCCCTGAGCGGCATCGCCCAGAAGAACTTCATGAACATTTTGGAGAAAGTGGTGCTGAAAGGTGAGCTCCCTCGCCCTCCATCACCCTTTCTGCAGGCACGGGCAGGCAGGCGTGGCGTTCGATTGGAGGCACGCCGAGGGTGAATGTGACTCGCTCCAGGGGTGCAGGCTTCCCCTTCAAAAAGGGGCATGGGCCGGGCTCGGTGGCTCAGCCTGTAATCCCGCGCTTTGGGAGGCCGAGGTGAGTGGATTGCCTGGGCCCACGGGTTCGAGACCTGCCTGGGCAACTTGGCAAGACCTCATCTCTACAATAAAAATCAAAAAAATCAGCCGGGCGTGGTAGCGTGCGCCTGTAGTTCCAGCTACTTGGAAGGCCGAGGAGGAAGGATCATCAGAGCCCGGCAGGTCGAGGCTGCGGTGACCGGGAGCGGCCACTGCACTCCAGTCTGGGCGACAGAGTGAGACTCCAACTCAAAAAAAGCAAAACGGGGGCATGATGCGTCCTCACAGCAGGGGGTGGCACCCTCCCTCCCTCAGGGCCATCCTGTGCCCTGCTGCCAGCCTCTCGGGCTCCTCACTGGAGGCCTTGTCCTGGCCTCGGCCCCTTGCCTCCAGGTTCCTAGGAAATCGGGCAGTGCGCAGAGGCAGAGTAGGTTTGTAGACTGCTTGAGCTAGAAGGAACCTCAGGCCTCTGGCTCGGCTGACTCGTTGAACACACGGGGAAACTGAGGCCCAGGAGGAGACGTGGCTTGTCTTAATCACACAGAGTCCACCGGACAGGGCCAGAACCCAAGCTCCAAAGCCTGGAGCCCTGCCCCTTCCCCCAGTGGTCTAGATGGGGCATCGCAACCAGACAAAAGCAACAGCTCACCGGTCAGTGGATCCCAGGTGCTGGTGGAGCCGTGAAGAGAGCACGGCTTTATAGAAAACCAGGGAGGGAACAGAGGGTCCCCAGGTAACAGACACCCTATCCCTTCGCCTCAGTGCACGAGCTCAGCCAAGATCAGAGTAAACACTGGCAGGAAGGGAAACCGAGTCACAGGGGCAGAGCCCCTTGACGTGGGCAGAATGGAGTGGAGAAGCCCGCTTGGAAGACGGGGCATCCTGGTGCCATGACACTGATGGCCTTTTCTTCCCACCCAAGTCCTTGAAGACCAGCAAAACATCCGCCTCATACGGGAGCTGCTCCAGACGCTCTACACGTCGCTGTGCACGCTGGTCCAGCGGGTCGGCAAGTCTGTGCTGGTCGGGAACATCAACATGTGGGTGTCGCGCATGGAGGCCATCCTGCACTGGCAGCAGCAGCTGGACGACATCCAGATCAGCAGGGTAAGTGGGTGGCCCCCAGGGGCAGAGGCACATACCACACACGCACGGGCACACACGCACGGGCACACACGCACATGTGCACCCACACAACATGCACCCACACTCACACACGCACCACGCGCACACCACGGAGCAAAGCACTCATGCACATCCTCTTTCAGAAACTGCCCCGAGTATTTGCTGGCTTTACCAGAATTTCCTCGTGGCAACCATGTACATGGTTTATTCTGGTAATTTCCCCCAACCCCCAACCCGTCTCTCAAAAATGGAGGCATAGCTTGACAGGGGGGTTTGAGACTCAAGTTCCCCCCTGCACCGCCTGCCTGACTTCTGCCTCCTCTGTGGCCTGGGCTGCCTGTTCCCAGCCCAGGAGAGCACTGCCCGGCCAGGCACAGACGTGAGCAGGTCCCATCTGTCCCAAGGCATCTTTCCTCGGCGACTGGGAGCACCGCCGAGATGGTCACCCCTGCCAGAACCCCCGAGGAGCCCCTCGGTCCCCTCTGCTCCCGTGCTTTGCCCTTCTGCGGGCCCGCATCCTCACAGCCCTCCTCGGGTGATCGCAGACCCCCTTCGTGGGCAGGGTGGAGCGGAGCCAGAGAAGCCCTGTGACTGTCCCAGCATGGCGCGGCAGTCGGGGCCTGAGCTGAGGCCGGAGCCCAGGACCCCTGGCTCCTAAGGTGGCGAACTGTGCCTGACGCCCGCGGCTCCGGACTTCTTCCAGTCAGGGTTCCTTCTTGCTGGTGACCCATAGTCGGTCTTTTTGAAGCCTCTCTGAGCCAGGGAAACCCACGCCAAAGAGATCAGATGCTGGCGTTCATGCACACCTTCTGCTCGAGGGGTCCAGCCCCTGTCTGTCCTCGGCACACCCCGGGCCTGGTCCTGCCTTTCCCGGCCATTCACTCTGAGGCGGCCACTGCCCTGTGGCCCCTGAGCGGCCCAGCCCGCCTCCGTCCTCTGGCTTATGGATGCCACGAAGCTGGGACGTGGCCTGCCTCGTTCCGTTCCCAGCACAGCAGGAGGCGGGCGGCACGTTTCATGGAGCAGTGGAGACCTGGAGGGGGCCTGCTCCCTCCGCCCACCCCGAGTGCTCACTCGTGCTCAGAGGAACGCGACTGGGAAACACCGCTCTGTGCGGAGGACATGGAGCACGGCTACCAGCAGCAGGATTCGGGCACCTCATCCAGCCTCCTGGGCCACCCTCTTTTCTGAGAGATGAGGTGACAGTGCCTGCTCAGAGCCCCGGGGTGAGATTCAATGCATGGACATACAGGGACAGGTGGCACGGCATCGACACTCTGCGCGGTTCCCTTCCGAGGGCTCCGCCTCCCTGCGGAGCTCACCCAGTGAAGGACGGCACACCTGAGGCACCGTAGAGGCTGGCGGTGCTGCGCTCGGGCCTCCCTGGCTGCCTCGCTCTGCCAGTGAGCCGCATGATGGGCCTCTCCTCACGAGAGCAGTGGGCCTGAGCAGGGAAGGGTCGCTGGGCCGGCCTCGCCCTGGGAGCATGCGGTCCGCGGAGGCTGGGCATCCCCTGTGTGCACCTCCCGCCCGGCCTCTGTCCCAGCCCTCCTGGGCCGGGGCTGGCGCCCGCAGAGCCCTACAGGGCCTTTCCTGCGAGGGCCCCGCTCTCAGAGGAAGCAGAGATGGGGGACAGACAGGAAGGACTCGAGGGCTGGGGTCTGGCCGGTGTCGGAGAGCTGACGCCCCTTGACAGTCTGGCCCACCGAGGAGTGCATCGTTCCGTGAAAATGCCGAGGCGACTTTCCGCGTCCACGCTGTTTACTGGTCAAGGGTCAGTGGGTGTCCTCCCGACGCGTCATCCTGTTCTTCAGGATGTTCGTGTCCGGCTCTGTGAAGCCGCTTCTTACTGGCAGAAATAATTAACATCCTCCAGGATGAAGGAGAAAGTGAGGAGAACTGGTTTTCCGGGACGGCGCGCGATCGCCATGCCGGGCAAGGCCTGTCTGAGGCGCTGGGGGCGGCGTGCGCCCGGGCGGATGCCAGACGCGTTCTCCTCCCTGCTCGCGCTGAGAGGCAAGAGGCACGCGAGCAGTTAACTGCATCAGGAGCCGGGGCTCAGCGTGGGGTCTGGGCTAGGGTTTTGGAAAAGTTCCGGTTCGGAAACTTGACAGCGTGAGCTCTGCCAAGCGGCCTGGCCTTTAACAGCCGTTCATGTCGTAACCGGCCGGGGCGTTTTGACCAAAAAAGTAGAGGCTTTGAAGTGCTGGAAGCAAAAGGCAATCTCATGGCGGTTTTATGAGCTCATAGGATCTGCAGCAGTAGACGGATGGCAGGCGGGCCCGGGCCTTCCGCGGCTGGCAGGGACCTGGGCTCTGCGAACAGCTGGAAGCTCTGCCCAGAGCCTGCGGTGGGCTTGGCAGGACGCTTGTTGAGTCCTCGTACCCGGACGAAGTGGGAGGCTGGGGTCCTTGGGTGCCAGGCTGTAGGAGCCGAAAGAGGTCCCCTGGGCCTCTGGGCGCCACTCACTTGGGACTGGGGACGCTGACCGACTTCCTGAAGGTGTGGGGTCCAGCTCCGCCCCGTCCCTCCAGCAGTCTCCGGCCACCTCCATCTCCCAACAGCTCACCCTCCCAAGGCCCCACCCTGCCCCCTCCCCACGCCGTGGCTGTCCTGTTTGGCAGGGGACACGGGGCAGGGCCGTGGCCGAGCGTACCCTGGTGTCCCCTGCAAGCTGGGCTACGATGCACTTGTTCAGAGCTCAGCGCCTGTAAAAATTCCAGGAGGGAAGTTGACACCATTCTCGGGATGCTTTCCCCTGAGCTGAGAAACATTTTCTCCATCCTGTGTTTTTTTTCCCCTGTGACCTCTCAGAGGTCACAGATCCTTGATCTAAAAACGGCAGGAGTTCGAGGTTGAGCGCTCACCCACAGGGAGAATGGGAAGGTCAGGAGCCCCAGTCCTGGGAGAGAACCCACTCGAGGGACCAGAGGCCATGGGGCGGCGAGGCGCGCGACGGCCGCCTGCGCCCCTGTCTCCAGGCAGCGAGGCCTCGGGGAAGGGCACGATTCGTGATGAACCGGGTCCAGCACAGACCCAGGTGTGCTGCTTGGAGAGCCCTGAAGGGTGCGACACGCAGCTCCGTGAAGTGTAGGGAGGTCCCTCAGCACATCTGGCCTGCGGCACTCTGGGCTGCTTTTGGTGGCCCCGGCCTCTGCGTTCAGGATGGGGAGGATGACGGCGACGGACTCTGACCCACCCCGGCCCTCGGGTGGGGGCCGTGGGCCCGCCGCGGCGGTGTGGCCGGGTGGCCACGCTCCCACCCGCTGAGCCTTGTCCTCTCTCTGCAGCCGGCCTTCCGGGGCCTGACCTTCACGGACCTGCCTCTGTGCCTGCAGCTGAACGTCATGCAGCGGCTGAGTGACGGCCGTGACCTGGTCAGCCTGGGCCAGGCGGCCCCCGGCCTGCTCGCGCTCAGCGAGGACCGGCTGCTGTGGAAGAGGCTCTGCCAGTACCACTTCTCCGAGCGGCAGGTGTGTGGCCGCGGCTGCCGCCCGCCCAACCCCCACCCCCGCGGCATCCACGGGCTTGACGTCCGAGGGCTCCGCGCCGGGGCTGTCTAGGCCACTGGGAAAAACCTTAAACAAGGAGTACGTGAGGCGGTTTTGTTGCAGGTGGTTTGGATGAAAACAGCAGCTGACATTCTTGCCCTATTTGCATTGCACCACTCACCGCCCAAAGGCTAAGCTGGCACCCATCCTTTCTTTCTGCAGCCAAACGGCGCCCATTCGGGTGCTTTCCAGCCAACGTGCTTTCACAGGCACTGCAACCTAGAGAACAGATGTGGTTGTGCCCACTCCACACAGGCGAAGAGCCCACAGCCACAGTGGCCAAGTGACACGTGCACCTCAGGGGAGTGGTCCTCGGAGCCAGGGGGCTGCCCTGAGCTTGAATTTGGTGTTCGGACCCCAGCTCCAGCTGCACTCCCCTCGTCAGGCTGCCCCCAGTGTGCCGGGCTTCATCCAGTTTCTGTGCGTAGACGCATGAGTTCACCTGGTTCTGTTCACAGAGCCACTGACACTTCGACGTGAGAGAGAGCTGCAGGGCCAAGCAGTGGCTGCATCTCCCTGGAAACGACCCCTCAGGTCCATGGCCAGTGAAGCTGCCTACTGAGCTCACCTAGGCCTCAAAGGACCATCCCAGTGCAGTCTAGTGAGGGTCACTCATGTGTCACTGGCCACCTGTTCCTTTTAAAGGCGGGTGAAGAGCCGCCATCTAGCTGAGGAGAGCTGGGAAGATGCTTCTGTGTATCTTGACAGTGTTCCCCCTAGCTATTGTAGACAGAAAGGGGGGAGCAGAACTTCTAGAACCAGAACGCCACACACCATCTTCTTTGGAGACTCTCCTGCAATTTTTTTGTGTGTTTGGTTTTTTAGATCCGCAAGCGATTAATTTTGTCGGACAAAGGGCAGCTGGATTGGAAGAAGATGTATTTCAAACTCATCCGGTGTTACCCCAGGAAGGAGCAGTACGGAGACACCCTGCAGCTTTGCAAACACTGTCACATCCTTTCCTGGAAGGTACGTGTCTCCCAGGCGGCTGCCCCGAACCCCTTGCCTGGCCCCGGAGCCGGCAGTGCCCGTGGCATGCGCGGCGCGAGTCTTGCGCCGTCTCCCCCGCTGCCCCGGCTGAAAGGGAGGTGAGGCCAAGGCAGCACCAGGGCGGGAGGAGGACTTCCGTGTCCTCCCCCTCCTCCACTCTCACCCGCCCATGCCCGGTCCTCCTGGTGCCCGAGGCACATGCTCACCCATGCAGACATACTGCTCTCAAGCTTTTCCAGGCCTTAGAATCGTGTCTGTCGGCACATGATAGAGGCACCTGGTTTGGGGCTACATGTGGTGCTTTAATACATTTGTGTAATCTGTGAGATCAAATCCAGGCACTCAGGGTGTCCATCCCCTTACATATGCATCATTCCTTTAATGTGGGAGCCATTCCAGCTCCTCCCTCCTAGCTGTCTCGAGGCGCACCATCGCGTGTTGCAAACAGCAGCCACCCCACCGCTCCACCGAGCGCCCGGGCCCCGTGTTCTCCCACCAAGCCACAGGCAGGCGCCCGTCTGCCCGCTTCTCTGCATGCCCCCACCCTTCCCGGCCTCTGGTGACCACGAGCCCCACACCCTGTGGCATTCCTGCGCGAGCTGGGTCAGGCCTCTTCTACCAGAAGCCAGTGGGGTGCCCCTGAGAACTCACCCCCCGCCGTGCCGTTCCCTTGCAGGGCACTGACCACCCGTGTACCGCCAACAGCCCAGAGAGCTGCTCCGTCTCGCTGCTGCCCCAGGACTTCATCAACCTGTTCAAGTTCTGAACCGCAGCACGTCAGCCCTGGGTCGGCGGAGCTGGACACTTCGTGTGTAAATAGCGTACATTTGAGACATGGACTCGAAACTGCCGAGACGCGTCGCGAGAGGACGTTGCAGAGGGCGGAGGACAGACGGGCGTGCGGGCGTGGGCGCCTCCGCGGCGCTGGGACGGAGAGGCGGGGACGCTGTACCCAGGCTCTTTTCCTAGCAGCGTGCCGGCAGGACTGTGAGGCAGGCCCTCTCTCCCAGCAGCGCACGCGGAATGCTCTTGGCGCCCACGGGAACGCCTTTCTGGTCCCTGGGAAGAACGAGGCAAGACGCAGATGCAGCGTAGAACACTCTTTGTTGACGATGTGGAAACGCGTCTAGAAAAGCAGAAGACTGACTTGTGGGCCGCCCTTGGCTTCGGGCCTCGCGGAGGGTCTGTCTGGAAAAGGCAGAGGAGCTGCCCGGCTGCCCACGTGAGCAGCGGAGGGCCTGACCTGGGAAGACGCCACACCATGGTCTACCTCGCACTCGCCGCGCACTCGCCAGCGCCCCGGCCCATCCGGCCCGTCTGCTTTCTTGTGTTTTCATCGCTGAAACTGATTGGGGATGGAAGGGATGCTGGAAGCACCTCATCTCGGCTCACGTCTCCCCTCCTGGCAAGCAGGACCCTCCTCGGGGCCGCCTCTTCCAGAGCAAAGCTAGAGTCCACGTGCCCTTGCCCGTCCACTTTGGCGCTCCTCTGGGAACAGAAGGCTGGCTTAAGCCAGTCGCGGCGGAAGTTCTGCTGCAGGAAAGACAGCTGGTGGCCCAGGAGCTGGGAGGCTTCCTTACTCCCGTCCGCCCAGCCGGCTTGCCTCCTTGGGCATCTTTGTGGACGCATGTGTGTCTGCGACGTATCGGGAGGCCTGGAAGTCGGGGCTTCCGCCTCAGCCGGTCAAACTTGTCCCCACTCGCCCTGGCCAGGCAAGTGAGCTGCAGGGCTGCTTTTATGTCCAACGTCAAAACTGAGCCAGCCCGAGCTGGGGCTTTTTGCCGGGGTGACTCGAAGTAACAACTGGGGTGCTGGCCAGCTGGGGGCAGGGTCCCCTGAGGCCACCCTGAGCTCACTTCAGGGCTGGGGCGTCACAACATGCAGACCCCGGGGTCTCTCAAGACGACACGGGCTGGGAACTGGGAAGAGAGGCGTCCCCGACGGGCGCATTCGCTGTCGGCTCTTCCTGGGAGCAAGAGGGGTGCTTGGTTTTTGACTTTTTATGGGCGTTGCTTTTCCGCAACAATGTACATACATTTGCGGTTGTATTTGCTTTGTTTTTTCTGAATAAAGTCGTCACCCGCATGCCCTCAGCAAATAAGCAAGGTGGTTCCCTCTCATGCAAAGCAACAGCAGCTTCTTGAGGGCTGGCCCTTGGAGTGGCCTGGGCCGAGGAGGACGGCCAAACCTGTGCAGAAGGCAAGGGACAGCTGGCGACGTCACCCCTCGAGGCCCTTCCCTCGGGGGCACCCCCGCACCAGCGCTCGGCTCGGCGCCCCTCACTCTGCAGAGCTCGCGCCCGCACCAGGACTTTCCTAATCCTCCCCCTAAGGAGAAAAGAATGAAAGGGAACTTAAATTTCCCGAATGAGAAAAATTAAGGGTGAAAGCCTGGGATCTTGCTGGCAGGGCTGAGCTTTGGAGGGCCGCCTGCCGCTGCCCGGCTTGAGGGATGTCTGCAAGCCGCAGCCCTCGGGAATCAGCCTCCGCTTGGGAAGGTAGGGCCCAGCCTCTGGAGTAAAAGGCGACCTCTGCCGTAACTGCCAGGTCCTCTCGGGTCTCTGCTTCCTTGAAGATGTGGGTGGCTCTGGGTTTGCCGTTGCTGGGAGGGCTCAGAACTTCTGACCCTGGGGGCTTTGCGTTTGGGGCTCGTGGCCTTCTGCGTCGTCACACCAGCTGTGACCTCAGCCCTTGGAGGCAGAAACTCCGCAGCCCTTGGGGGTTGCAGCCCCAGACGGGCTGCCTGCCGGGGACGGTCCACCCCACGCTGGAGAAGCGGTCTCCCGCGGACCGTCAGCGGTGTGCGGGTGGCACGTCACCCCGGGCGGCAGCGTGCTCTGTGCAAGGTCACCCTGCCTGGGTGGGCTGCCGTCTTCTGCAGCGTTTGCCAAGCTGCTGCCTAGGGGCCCGTCCTCCACCTTTCGGTGTCATTGGAGCTGGTGTGTGACAGAGTCAAGGAGATAAAGGAAAAAGACGAAACAAACACGTCTGGCTCCTTCCTTGGAAGAGGGGAAACAGGAAGGATGCGGCCGGTGGAAAGGGAGAGGGAAAGATTAGAACTGGGCCGTGGTTCACGTGGGGACGGTGGCACGGGCGCGGCGTCAACATTCGAGCTGTGCAGTGTCAGCTGAGCATAGCTGAGCCTCACGTATGAGTGGAGACAGTTCCGAAAGCTCTTGTTCCCCGGACACTGACAGTCTATAGAATTTTTCTTGGCAGATCTTCCCAGGACAACCTGACCTAAAAAGCAAAAACAAAGAATCCCTGTCTCAGAACTGCTGGTGCGAAAGCCAGAAGGGGCATGACGGGGGCATCGCTGGACGCGCTAGAATGTTCTACTCGCTTGATGGGCCGACCATCCCCACCCTAGACCATCCCCACTCCCATCCCAGAAAGCAGGATTCGCAATGGATCTGGAAGATGAGGTGATTCAGACTTCAGAGAAGGAAGGATCTTGCCCAAGGCGGTGTGGACAAGCCCACGGGGTGTTCTGATTTGATCCCACCCGAGGGCGTGCGGGCAGGGAGTCCAGAGTCCCTTGCGAGCAAAGCCTGGCGTTTGGGGAAGGGGCCGGCGGGAGGTGTAGGAGCACTCGCTTGAGAGCAAGGCTCCGAGAGCAAAACCAGCGAGCTGCTGGTGGAGGCTGCTGCCTTTGGCCCAGCACTGGCACTGGGAGTGGATCCGCCAGCTGGGTGGGAGAGCAGGCGGCAGACGGCGCAAGCGAGGGCGCGGCAACACAGCCGGGAGGCCCGCCTGCGGGTGGTGAGAGGGCGTTTGCCTGACGACGACAGGCAGCGTGCTGAAGTGGCTTGGAGCAGCCCAGGTCTGCACGGGGAGACCGGGACGCCAGGATGCCAGCGGCCCCGCTTGTGAGTCAGGCGTGGAGGTGTGTGTTGCCTTCTGCCGCGGCGCTCAGCTCTGGCCTCACCCTTCCCCGGACCCTGCTGTGAGCGGGGCCTTTGCTCCTGCTGTTTTTAGAGAGAAGAGAAAGGGCTTGGAATTATCTGTCCGAACAAGCGTGTGACTTACTGGGAGGCCAGCCCTTCCGGCGATGTCCAGCAGCGCCGCACCCTCACCTTCAGCTCAATGTCTATTATGAAATATGCACCTGAGTGTGTTTTCCTGCCAGGCTGCAGGGCCGTGATGTCTTGCAATGCCAACACTCGGCTGTAATTTTACAAATTTTGTGAATTTTTTTTTAACTGAACCCCATTATGTCCTGTGTTGACATCTGTTGTTTTTTATCTGTTTCCAACGACCCAAGTCTGTGAACCATCTCTTCTGCCTGGACGGGGGCCTAAAATCCTATTCGTGCCTCAGCAGACCTCAGAGACGCCCTGAGCCTCGAGGCAGGTGTCTTGGCTACATCTGGGACCCTGGGGACCTCAGCAAGCGAGGCCTGCAGTCCTGTGCACGCATTTTCTGTGGACGCTGTGTCTCTTGTGTCGCTGAGGCGTGAGCCCTCTCTGGTTTCCCAAAAGAAGTAAACTCCAACCCCGACTTCAGGCCTGGGCTTCTGCCTTTCCAGAGGAAGGGTTGGACCCGCGTGGCACTCAGTGGCAGAGCTCAGGGCCACCCTGGGCCCTCCGAGGCCTGGCCTGTGTGCCCGTCCCCCACCCCACACACCTTTGGTGTTACCCGGACATGATTCTTCTGCAGACCTTTCCGTGGAAGGCAGGGAGGTTGCCCCGAACTGGGCATGTGGCCATGAACTCTTCCAGACATCTTAAGTCCCTGGTCTTCCTGGAGAAGCTGAGCCACTTCTCTGGGCACAGACCTCTGCTTCTGCTGTGAGTCCTGTGCGCTCGTGAGGGCAACCTCTTGCCGTGAGAGAAGCAGCATGTTCCGAGGAAGGATTTTTTTCCTCGGGAACTTCAGTTTCATTGCAAAGTGGCCCTTTTAAAAGCAGGTGAGAACTGACTAGGGGCTGGCTTTCTGGAAATGGAGGCGCCGATGGCCAGTGAGCAGGCATGTCCTTTCCCCGGACTCGGAGATGTCCTGGCTCCTCCCCCAGGGCCTGCCAAGGCCCCGTGAGTGCCTGGCCCAGTGGAAGTTCACGCTCCGCCAGGCCCCGTCACTAAGCAAAGGGAGCGATTCCATGAGGCAGCGGGAGCAAGGGGCCACACTGCTCATGACTTTGCCTGCTGGGCATTTTTCAAGGCGTCCTGGAACTCACTCAGCAGAGCTTCCTGGAAAATTTTCAAGGCTCAAGCCTTGCTCTATTTGCCCAAACGTGAATGGCGGCTCCGAGACGCAGAACTCCTTGAAACACCATCTGCCGCAACCTTACTTCTGGAGTCTGAACACAGCTTGGCCTGTCTCTGAGCGGAGATGTGTTTGCTTAATGCACAACGCACACGTCTGCTCACCAGAAGGCTCCAAGCTGTGCTCCATGCTTGGCAACCCTGGCCGCCATCTTTATTCCACCAAGTGCCAATCACCCTGGCTAAAGTGAGTCTATGCTACAGCCCATGCCCTGCGCTTAGAAGCTTTAGTGTACTTTTTAGCTGAAAAACATGGGAGGGGGTTGAAGATTGTAACAAAAAGCATAAGGTTAGACCAATTACATACAAAGATGTTTATTTAATATTGTGTGAGCTGATTCCTTCTGTATAAATTATTTGCACACTTTTCTTGCATGATGAACTGATTTTTTTATAGTTGTTTGCACCAGACGGTGGCATATTTTTGTAAAAAAACTTTTGACACTGAATCGCAATAAATGTTTTTCCAAAAACACACACTGGTGCATTTTTGGTTTTCTTCAAGTTGGCTTT